AATAAAATTTTTCCTTTGAAGAATAGGTTTCTACTAGAGATCTTCTGTATTTTCTGCTTAATGCTTTTGGTTAAGTTTTCCCATATTCATTTTTTGGGGTATCTTTACGATCTATTTCATAACCCAGGATTTTGAATGGAGTATTGTCATCTGCTATTTTAAAAAATCTTGATTGAGTAAGTACATTTGATTAATTTTTGCATTGAGGCTAGTTCATATTTTTGCAGAATTGCTATAAGTTTCTCCCAATTTTAAGAAGATCCTATTCCTACTGTCAAGTTGTTAGTGTATACTATAACTTTGAAGTAGTGGTCTGCTGTCTTTATTCTATTCAACTCTTCTTGAATTTTAAGGATAAGTGGATTCAAAGCTAGAATATATAACAGAGGTAAGAGCGAGTCCCACTGTCTAACTTCTTTTTCAACTTGGATTGGTTCTGATATGAGCGATATGTGTAGTTTGAAGGTGAAATAAGCTTTTGATGATATTAATAAACTTGGTATCAAAATTCATCCTTTCTAATACCAGAAGAATAAAATCGTGACTTATCCGATTAAAGGCCTTTTTGCTGATTAAGCAGCAGCAACCAGTGTGATGCTGACTAGTCTTTTTGGTTTCTCATAATAGTAATAATGTCTAATACTGCATCTGTAATTGATCTTCCCTTTATATATATATGCCTGTTGTGATAGACCAATAATCGATTTGCAGATAATATTAATTCTATTGGCTAGGATCTTTATAAATATTTTAACATCACAGTTGGTAAGTGAAATTGGGTGCCAGTTGTCTATGTTTTCTAGATTATCTGATTTTTTCGGAATCAAAGTGATGATGCTCTTGGTTTACGATCTGGGTGTCAAACTATTTTCTAGCTGATAATTGAATAGACCTGTAAGTATTGGGACTATTTCCTCTTTGATTCCCTTATAGAACTCATATGGGCCAATTTTTTGATTTTTGTAGATCCTTGTCTATCAAAACACTCAAAATTGCCTTATTTGGATTTAATTCTGGTCGAATATGCAGATCATTTGGCCTGGGTGATGAGTTTTACAACTCATCCCCCAGGCCGAATGATCTGCATATTCGACCAGAATTAAACCCAAATAAGGCAATTTTGAGTGTTTTGATAGACAAGGATCTACAAAAATCAAAAAAATTGGCTCATATGTCATATGTAAAGCCATCTAAACCTGGAGACTTGTTATTTGGAAGCTGGTTTAAAATCTCATTAACTTCCTCTTCAGAAATTAAGCTTACTAGCATTCTGTTTTGACTCTCTGAGACTTGTATTAAGCCTTGAGTGAAGAGATTTGCTACAGCTGTGCAGTTGTTTTCTGCCTTGTAGATATCTTTATAGATATTCTTCATATATTGTAATTTGTTAGCCAGATTGTTTATTTGACTATGTTCAGAGATCTGAATTTTGTTGCTTGCTGAAGTATTACTTCTGGTCTTGTAATGTGAATAGAAGAATTTTGTGGATTTTTCTCCTTTTTCGATTCATTTCATATTTGATTTAGTCTGCTATTTGTCAGAAAGGGTCTGAGTTTTCTATGCTAGATGTCTCATTGTTAATTTTGGTTAATCTTTTTTGCAGCTTCTGAATCCTTTTTTCTGGTAAAGGTTGTGGTCTAAAGGCTCTGATTATGGATTGTATTCTATATTTATGTAGATCCCACCTTGAGAAGTTTGTAATACTTTGTACCTCTTCAATTACTTCTGCTTTGAGTAGTTGATTTTGCCAGCTATTTTTATCAAATCTCCATTGTTTTGCCTTAGGTTTTTCTATATTCAACTGCAGTTCACATTTTACTAGCAAGTGATCGGAGTTACCAAACTGGGTTGTGGTCTTCTTGCAGAGGTGCCCATGATTTGAATCAATGAAAATATAATCTAATCTTGTAGCTATTATGTGGCCTCCTTGTGTATTCTGATAATAAGGCTTTGTGCAGGCTGTAACTGCTATGGTATCAATATACTCTAATGTTAAATTTGAAAGCAATTCTCTTGTAGAATCACTTGTTGGTGAAGACTGACTTATTCTATTTTCCTGTGGGTTAAAGTTTGTATTGAAGTCTCCCGCAAGAATAGTTATGTATCCTTCATCTATCTCTGAAGACCAGCTATTAAAGAAGTTAACTCTTTCTGCTACACTTGGTGTTTGTAGATTAGGGCTCCGAAGTATGATTTGGGTTTGGTTTGGGTTTGATCAAACTTCAAACTCAAATCAAACTCAAACAGCAAACCCAAACTCAAACTAGTATTACCAAACTCAAACCAAACTCAAACACAATTATAAGTTTGATTTGAGTTTGATTTGAAGTTTGCCAAACATGTTTTGAGTTTTAATAGTCAAAACCAATACACAAATCTAGCATAACTACCATAATCAGTTATGTATGGAGTTAAAATTAATTCATTTACTATTTTTATTTTTTGGTAAACTTCAAAGTGAGGTAATAATAGTTTACCAAATAAATTTTGAATTAATTCGAATAACTACTTTTCTTGATGCAATAAAATTTGTAATATAGTTTGTTAAGTTAGATAATAACTGTTTACCAAATAAATTTAATTTACATGTTGGGTTAAGAGATTTGGTTTAATAAAATCCCAGATCAAACTTTAAAAATATTATCAAACATGCTTATTTTAAAGATTAATCTGATATCTATTAGATATCCATTTTTATATTAAATTTAGATATTGGGTCACATCTCTATTTATGCTAAACCTCATATGTTTGTAAGCTGCTTCAATTTATTTACTCATTTAAGTTCTCTAAAATTTAAGAATTATATATTGAAGCATGATCATATATCACTCTTTATTGTATCAGAAATTGCATTTTAGCTTATACACTTCAGTTTACTACCCACTAATCTAAATTGCGTTGAATATTATGTAATCTACTGTATTAACATTAAAAGGAATCCATGCAATAATATTATAATAAAATGCGGCCCTAAATTTAAGTTCTTTAATGCAATTATTAAGATTCTTTAAGATTTTTTGGTGCTGCAGCAGTCACGGGATGCACAGTTGGTATTCTCAGATAAGTATTTTTTCTATTTCTTGAACTTGAATTATTCATGATAATTATGGGTCATGGGTCTTGATTTGTAATCGGATCCAATTTACATACATACTAGTATGTAAATCGATAGTCAATTAATTTCTAATATCTGTAATATATATAACAGATAAGGGTATTGCTTATTAATCTCTCTCTCTTTCTTTACTTTTTGTAAAATAAAATATATTAGGTTTATGATCAACACAGGGTCAAGAATAGGAATGATTTTAATGATTTGAGATCTACTATATGGGGGCGTCAGTAGAAACCAAGCAAATTGACAAATTTGAGTTTTTGAGATAATGTGATTTTTGTGTTGTGTTATACAAACTCACATAAACAATGATCAAAGTCGACCTTGTTTACGGCATTATCTGATCAAGGTGATTATCAATTATGTAATGTAAATCAGTCAGCAGACTCTAGGTAGTGATTTCTATCTATTTCCAGCCAAATTATTTAAACTTGAATATCTCAAAATTTTATTAATTAATATGAAGCCCATTACCAAGTCATTAATTTTTACATTAGCTAAATAAAAAAAAATCATTTTTAAAAAATTTTCAATTTGCTTGGTTTCTACTGATGCCCCCATATGGTGAACCCGATGAGTTGTCTTTTATTCAAGGTAAAAAAATTGGAATTTATGTACTTTTAATTACATAGAAAATAATTATTACAAACTTCCTTGCTTTCCTTTTAGAGGTTCCATTATCTACAAACGAAGGCATTGTGCTGCTCATATGGTTTTTGGTGTTAAACTGGACCCCTTATCTGTTATTATATTTCCTCTGGTAGAAAAGGCATGTTCAGATGCAATGGGTGTGCTAAATATTATATTAATATCAATAAATTATTAATAAGATAAAATATTTATTATTACTTACTTTTCACCATGCTAATACATCTGTTTCTTTATTTGCAAGTTTTTTTAGAAATGTAGCTTTCAATTTTATCAAATTCTTCATTGTCTTCATCAAAGTCTTTATCTAACAATGTTTGTGTGGTTGACTTTATTGCATTGTCAGTACTTAAGTTATTAGAAGCGGCAATGGGTATGTATACTGTTTCAAAAAGATCATGCATTTTAAAAAAGAAATTTATATAAGTATAGAATTTCTAAAAAAAAAAAATTGTATTTCACACCTTGTGGGCTAGTAAAATCTGCTATAATTATGTGAAGGTAAAATACAATCAACATCAGATTTTACAAGCTCGTAATGTGGGCTTCACCCTGTTCTAATAAATTGATATACTGTAATTATTTGATTAATAGGCTAATAAAATAATTAATTAATACTTCATATACAGTATTACTATATATGGGACTTCTCACAACAAAAGCAGATGAGCTAAAAAATAATTTTATTCTAATTAATTCAATTTTGGCCCATATAGGGACAATAGATTTATAAATAATTTCATTTTACAGTCGATTCTCCATAAGTGCACTCTACAATTGTATCTCCTCTTTTTATAAATGCATATAATTTGATCCGTTCAATAATTTTGTATGTATAACGCTAGTAGTTAAATTAATACCCTAATGCAATTCCAATGCTGTCTATGCTGTGCCAATAAGATTAATGCTAGTGTCGATATTCTCCAAGAGCATGCGCTTATAGAAAGTCAACTGTAAAATAAAATTGATATCCCAAGAATTATATGATTTATCATCACAAGATGTAAAATACAGTTTAATTAAAAAAATATTTACAGAGTTTTTGTTTTATTGATCTCATATTCTGGAAATTCTTTTTTGATAAAGTATTAAAATTTAGTTTCATTTGTTTTAAACAAGTTTTTCTCTCACTGCCGTGGCCGCCATAGAGAGTGATGAAGCTAAATAATTAAGTCATTTATAAGTAAATAAATATAAATTACGAATTATAATAATGTTCAAGGTTATTAAGTATAATTAACTTTTTGTTTTAATATTTGAAATTATGTCTTCAACATGATTGATGATTATATTGAAAAGAGGAATGATACAGAAAGCTATGCTATTTGTGCTAGATAACATTTTGACTATAAGATCCTTAAATGGTTCAAGAAATTTAGCAATTTTCTCTAATATGGCCCATTGACTATGTGAAATTGCATAATTATAGAGATCGTTATGAGAACTAGTAAGATTATTAAGCGCCTACAAAATATATCATTAGAATTGTCTCTATTCAACCAAGAGAATAATTTTTTATTTTATTTTGATAATAGTGATTGGACTCGTCAACTTGCAACCCGAGTAAATCGAATTTACTACCCTTCGAATTATGAAATTTTAATTTGTGAGTTAATTATCACCGTAGTAATAATTAGATATGGTTAATAGTTTGTATTACCAATTATATTTCACGCACAAACCTTAATCCAGAATAGAAATATTAATTTATTGGATATAATATTTCTAATGAATAATTAATATATATTCCTGCTTTGTAATTATAATTTGAGATATTTGCTCTTATAAATAAGCAGAATTACTTTTGTAATACATTTACAATGATAATTAATTTTCATGACTCGAATAATTAGAAAATAATTCGATCATATGATTTGAGTATATTTGAGTATCTTTGAGCTTAATTTGCGAATCATGTGTTAACATAAATCCAGTCACTATTTGATAACCAAAACACTTGTATTGTTTATCTCAAATACTACTGCAAAATATAACAAGGCCAAATAAGTAACCTGTATGAAATATAACTGAGATAAAATGACATATGACAAAGTAAATAGTAGCTATTTAATATACCTACTTACAGAAACTTAAATGTCTTAATACGCAGTAACTGCATAGTAACAATATAGTAATTACATAATTTAATCGTAAATACATAGTTACTATGCAGTTACTACACATTAAGAGATTTATAGAGAATAAAATTATTGTCCCTACATATAACAATATGAAATTAAATATAGGCTTACTGGCTTAAAAGATAATATATTTTTGATCATATCATAAGTGAAATTCCACCTAGTAGGATAATTCAGGATAGGTTTGTAAAATTTGATATGACATATAGTACATAAATTTTCAAGAAGCTCAACACGTTGAGGTGTTATACGAATAGCAGTATTAATTTCCAATTAGCTAAAGTTTATATTGATACTTTGCGAATATGCTCCTTTATTTCATTTAAAGCTACTTGCGCTGCCAAATTAAGGATATAATTAAAGCAGCAAAACTAAAGATGTTTTAGATTCCAGTTAAAGTTTGCTTCTTTTCTTAACTTTATTTCTAATTCATTAACAAAAATATCATTGTTTGTAGCATTGTCAAGTGTGATAGTAAGAAGCTGATAAAAGAAAAAAAAAAAATTGGCACACTTCAAAATGCTATTTGAAATTATATAAGCAATTTCGAATAGCATTTGAAACATGTCATTGTACTTTAGATTAATTATGATTAGTAAAATAAAATAAAATGAAAATAAGGTTCTTATAAAATAATTACTTTTGATGCAATGTTATAATCTTTTAGTATACTAAAGAATCCATTTGAAATATTTATTCCATCATGTCTCCCCAAAATTGATTAGTATTTCTTGGAAGCTTTGTTGTTAAGAGACATCCAGAGGTTTGACATAAAAGAAATCTTAGAATTTATAGAGGAAAGGTATATCTACAGAATATAAGTACTTAGTAAAATAATAAAAAAACATATTTATCACCTGATCATTAGATCATGGGTATTTGGTTCTGATCTATATAAATATACAGGCAGAAACATCGTTTCTGATACTTTTTTAAAAAAAATTTAATGTTTACCTTCAATTCTTGTTTTTCTGAATTATAAAGTGTCAAAACTACATTCTTAATTGTATCTGCTTTAATAATTTGTGCCTTGGGATTTAAGTACTGTACAATTTTGACAAATTCAGGATCCTCAATTATTACAAGAAGGCACTGATGATTAATAATCCATATGGTGAACATATTTCAAAGTCTCGTATTATCAATATCATCTAAAGTTTTTTTTTAAAAAAAAGGTTAGAACAATCTAAAAAAAAATTAAAAAAGCAAGAACTTACACTTTTGAATAACTCTTCAATAGTGCTATCTTGCGACTTTTTTTTTTTGCAATAGTCTTTTGTCGTAGCATACTGTGCCTTATGGGCACTTTCTAAGTGCTGCTATAATATAGTAGTCGAGCCACCACCTGCATACAAAAATGGCTTATGTGTACACTTTGTTACTTTACATTTAGCTGTTTTTGTTTTCTTTTGCCACACAAGCTTTTTAAAAAAGCCCCACACCTCACTATTTTTATTGCTTTGTTTGTTGCTAGTACTACTATTATCAATATTGGAGCTATTGCTATGATTATTATCATGGTCATGGTTGTTATTATAATCACGATTATAGTTATTATTATCATTATTATAATCACGATTATCGTGGTCACTATTTTTTTTATATTAAATAATCCTGCTTCTATTTATTTTTAGAAATACTATTCAATTATTACATATTTTAGTAACCACCAAGATAGTCTAGCACTCTTTTTACAAAGGGATCCAAAACTCACTTCAGATTTCATATTGACAAAGGATACCCCCTTGATCATTTGACCAGTTGTTGTATACCGCGTTAGGATCCCTTCTAATTCTTCCTTCTTCTCAAGAGACACAAGACAAAAGGGGAAATTTTAAACAAAGAATTATGAAAATGACCTGAAAAAAGAAAAAACAGAAAAGAAAAACATAAAAAGAAATCTAAAATCCTGAAGGCACTATTATAACCCATGCATGGCTGATAAAAATTATATAACAAATGCAACATTTGTATATCTCTACTGTAAAGCTTCGCCTTAACGTTAAATTTACTTTCCAACCTTCTCACCAACTCCAGATAGCTTCGTTGCCCATCCTAATTCATATTTTGAGCCAGGTGCTGCTATCATCTGAGGACCCATGTCTCAAGCCACCTGCTACCGTAATTAGAGTTCCCAGGCTGAGTCTTATAAAAAAGCACACGTGGTTGCATTCTGCTAATCTGTCCGAATTTGGGAAGTAAACAATACCGATCTTTTGGAAAAATAAGCAAAATCCCCCACTTTTTGTAAAAAATTTTGAAAGACCGGTGAAAAAATGGAAGTGAGTAAGAGAAGAGTCACTTGGCCAAGTAAAAAAGTGTGGCTTGAGAATAGCAAGTTCTTCACTGTTCTCCGGTTATTTTGCAACAGAATGCTTTATCGACAGAGAAAACTATGATTCCCACCAAAATTTCATATACAAGGGCACACTTCCCCAGCCAGTTATCTTGTATAAAGACACTTTTAGCTTGCATGTCAAATATATAAAGGAGTTCCCGAAAAGCAGAGAAGGTTGACCTTTATAAAAACCACACTGTTGTCTACCCACTACAGGTACTATTCTATCTCTCCAGTATCCAAACTTGACTTTTCTTTTGTAGGAAATTTTGGTCCAAGTGATCGTTGGAAAGAGTTGATTTGTGATTGAATCATGGTCACTATTATGATAATTATAATGATCATTATCACAATTATAGCTTGGCACTTCCAATTCTTTAGATAAAGAGCTCATCTTTACAAAATTGAATATTATAGTCTAAGAGATAATTTATCTTTAGGTTGTAAACATTAAGTCTAATTCTTAAAGGATATATATTTTATTTTTATTTTCAAGATCTTAAAAAAGACACATATTTATGAATTAATATTAGAACTTTATTATCTTGTTAATTCGAGTTTTTAATATGAAAAGAACGAATAGAAATTAATTAATATTTAAAGAATTCTGCTTTTAGAGCAAATGGGTATTCTTTATTATAATGAATTTAAGATTTGACAATTTTTAGTTATTAACTTGTTCATATACTGAAATAAAGATCTGAGTCAAAAATCCTGATAAGGCATAAAGGCATAATCAAGATTCTGATTGTTAAGATTTTGACCCAAGTCCCTGATTCAAAAAAAAAAAAAAAATAGCATGAAGGTTTTCTATTCACAAGACTGTAGAAATTAAAGTTTGTAATTATCCGATATGGGTATTTTTTATTAAAATGAATTTAAGATTTGAAAATTAAATGCTGAAATAAGAGTCTGGGTTAAAATCCTGATAAGGCATAAAGGCATAATTAGGATTCTGATTATCAAAATTTTGACCCAAGCTCCTAATTCAAAAAAAAAAAATAGCATAAAGATTTTCTATTCGCAAGACTGTAGAAATTAAGGTTTGTAATTATCCAATATGTTATCAATATTCCTACTGCATTTTATTCTAATATAGTTAAGTTTGGATACACAAGTTATAAATCATTATAAGTATACTACAGTATATGGTGCAGGAAATCTAAGACTTTATATAGAATAAAAACATACATATGTACGTATGTAAAATTTCAGAATCAACATAAAGTGATAAATTAATTTTAAAGTGAATTTTATATACCTTATTTCTTTCTAATCAGTTGTAACTTTTTGGTTCCAAATATGTGTAAACCTGAGTATTCTCATTGTCAGATCTGGATTATCTGTTGTTTCAAAAATCACCACCTATTGGTCTGTAAACACTGATGTCCTTTTATACACCAATGGTTTAATAGCAAAATATTGCCAATATCTTTAAAGGCTTCTTCGATTTGCTTTAAAATAAAATCCTTTTTGCCCATAGGCATATTTCGAAGCCGCACTGATAAAAAACTTTATCTAATATTTACTGGAATATACCTTTGGAGAGTTTGTTTAAAGATTACAAGACCTTCTGCTGCATAAAACTGCTGCTTCTCTTTATCTGTAAAGATGACCTCCAAATGGGATTTTTAGTTTCTTGTAAAGATTGGTTTGGCTGCAATAAGGTCTTCACCAACTACAGTTGCCATTGCTTCCACAATGTCAGAAGTGGGAATATTTTCTAAGTTGTGTAGCTCAAAAATTAGTGTGTTCTCATTTTTAGTATGAATTCTCTTCCTTGGAGAGTAGGTTGAGAAAGTCACTTTGTCTTGTTCGAGCTTAGAAAACAAACTTGACCATTGTTTGGGTTATGTCTGTTTATTGGTTTCATTTAATTGGTTGCTTATATGTTTGTTCACATGTTTGTTGTTGTTAACTTTATTGAGCATGTGTGTTGTTTGTTTTGCCAAGTCTTTAAACACATCATTTGTTTGGGTAAACCAGCTGTTTTCTTCTTCTGCCACTTTGGTTTTCTCAACTTTGTTTTCTGCTATATTTTCCTGCATACTACTACTGCTTGCAATGTTAACTGTGTTGTCTGAGTTCTGGCCTACTGTTTGGAGCAACTCCTTATTTTTTGCATCTTTATAGCTTGTTCCCCAAATTTTGGCTAAATTTTCTTCTTCTTCAGTAGCTGAAGTTCTTGCCTTTTTATTTTTTTTGTCGAACCCCGGGTTATCTATACTAGATGTTTCCATACTATCTTGCTTACATTTCTTGTATGTAAGGGCCTCAGCCCCTGAAGTACCTTGTTGTTTTTGTATAAAAAGTGGCAAGTTTTGTGTAGTAATTTTGTTGTTACCAAATTTCCAGAGAAGAACCAGAAAGAGTTTGTAAGGGTTGAATTATTAGCATTCCAAATTTCTGTTAATTGATCTGCAGTTTTTTTCTATTATTTAATATTAATTGTTATATTTTAGATAAATCTGCAAAACCTTTATAAATGTTGGTAATTTATATTTTTGTTATCTGAGACTATAGTATAATGTTCCAAATTGTTAAAATTTTACCAACCGATTAGTTGCCAACTATAGTTGGCAACTAACTGGTTACGTATATCATGTGATATTTTTAGATATTAGCCAATCAAATCCAAGAAATCATTCCAAATTATTCCAAATAAGTGGAATATCTCGGAATTATATTAATTGAATGATTAGTTGGTTAATTGATTAAAAAATTTTCTATTTGGTTAGTTGGAAAGTTGTCAACTATTTGGTTTTTTAACTAATAATTCAGAACATATATGTTTAGAGGCTCTGGATACAATCTATTTAATTTACAATATTAAAGATTGTGTCTAATACAAAATATAATTGCTATCCAAACTATATTTGGACTAAGTTAAAGCCATTTTGTATATATGTTTAGAGGCTGATCAAACTGGTCCAAACACAGCCTGATTATTATTTATTTATGATAAAAAATAGGACTTTGGACTTTCAATTTTATACCGGACACAATCTATCTAATTGTGCCAATACAATAGTTTAAGACTAAAGCTATTTTTGTATATACAGTAAACCCCAATTTAAGTTAAAAAGTTGTGATTATAGTATTATCATAATTCCTAAAACACCTGATAAAAATTAGCTAAATAATTATTAAGTTAGTGATTTCTAAAAATAATAAAAGTTATTTTTGTATTATAATCAATTATTATAACAATAATATCAATGTGCCAATAAGAAGTTGAAGCATGGAGGCGTGTACGTGTTGATAGAACTAACAGGCTCTGGTCGTACCCGTATGAGAGCTTTGGCGTTAAGAGGACTCGGGACCACCAATATAGGTATAGCTGGTATAAGTGCATGTAGTGGTAACCGGAGGCTACAACTGCCAAGAATCACCATAAAAAGAAACGATGACGCACCTGTTACCTCTGAGCCTCATGATGCCATCCAACTATACTGACTACTGGAAGCATTTGCGAAACATGCCTGGGC